CGGGCTCTGCAGTTTTGAAACCAAACCTGAAAGAAAACCAGCAAACGTGGTGTCAATGGAGAGGCAATTGGACTGAGGCACAGTCCTTCATCAAGACGCTATGATGGGTGTCTCTTCCAAATATTTTTTAAAAAAAGAACCAGAATTAGAAATGTGCACGCTGAAATACCCCACCAACACTCCACCAGGTTCCATGTCTTTGTTTTATACTCGCTAGAGCAAGAGTCTTGTCTCGAGACAGTACAGACATCAGGGTGTCTGAGGTGGTATCTCTACTATTGATTTTTCTTGGTAAAAACGAACACAATTCTTTATTAGGGTAATTAAAACTTTCAAGCTTGTGGCAGGAGTCACTGAGTGAAACACTCTGACTAGGTGATGCAGAAACTCACATTAATAATCACACTGTTCCATTCCACACTAAAATAATTTTAATGGCAAGCTGCTCCCTGAGCTCTAAGAGCTGTGAAAGTCCTCGGTGGCAGTACCAGACTGACCAGACAGCTGCACCCCTGTACCCGAGCTTTGGCTGGCTTCACCCGTCCCTGCGCATCCAAAACTTCATCCCTGCATGGCTTCCACTGCAAAGGATGGGAGCCCCTTTCAAGGTCTTATTTAGATTTTAACCTTCAACCCCAGCTAGCCTGGCCTAGAAGCACGGCTGAGATCAGCTGGGGAATGCATGAGCCTTGACAAGGCAAGAGACAAGGAGAGGCAAAACCACTTTTACTAGCTTACACTAGGGTATTGTTTTAATCACTTGTGGTTTATTGTATTGAAAAAACACATCAGCAGACCATTAAAGCTGAGAAAGGAGCATACTGTGGTGGGATACAGCTCTAGTCTATAGGACCAGAAGGTATGAGTCCTCTAATCATATCTCACTGCTTTCAATTAAAGAAATAGTTCAGGGATTACATTCTAGAATTAAAACATGCATGGAAGTGTTTGGGTTTTTATATAAATGTGGTAGTTTTGTTCTTATGCTTTAATTTTTGAAAGATAGCTGGGAGTAGAAATCTTCTGTAAGGCTGAGTGAAGATCAGCTCTCTGAGGCTGAGCATGCTGGACCACAGAGAAGGAAACAGTCATAAGCATCTGACAAATTTTTCCGTGTTCAAAGCGCCTTTAAAAAATATCTACATAAAAAAAGCCCAGTGTGCAGACTGCACGATCTTTAGCTAAATGAAGAATCTCAATAACCGAGGCTTGAGCCAGATTTTCACACACAAAATTTAAACGTGTCATTGGCAAAACAATCCTGGATGAAAGCTCCGAATTTATTTTAATCACTCATGTCTTTATTATATGCAGAAAGCATGCCAGCAACACACTAAAGTGAAGAGTATAAATGTCGCCGAGGCCAGGCTGTGCTGCCTACTGAGTCAGAGAGCTGGGAGTTGCGGAGGGGACATTTCTGGGATTTCCCTGCCACTGTGTCCCCTGGGGCTGAAAAAAACCCTTTTGCTTTAAACTTCTCAATCCCTGCTCGCAGCGGGACGGCTGCTGATGCTGGGGAAGCAGCGGCGCTGCCCGTGCAGGCTGTCAAGGCAGAGCACAGAGCTCCGGGTGCCAGCGGCAGCTTTCCCGCTCGGCAATTTATTGGGACTGGCTGGGGTTGTGTGGTTGGGTTTTCTTCATTGCACCATAAGAGGGAAAAACAAATAGAAAACCCACGAGTGAGACAGAGGAAGGGCGGTGCTGGCATCATTACGCCAGCCGGTGAAGGCGACACG